TTTTTTTTTTTTTTTCTAGCCATTTTGTTCTCGGTTATGAATTTCATTCTTTTGTTTTGGTGGAGATTCTGCTAATTGAAGTGTTTAATAGTTCGTTTGGAGATTCTCTGTTCGGAATCATTTTTTATTTTTTTTTTTCATTTTTCTGCTTTTCTTTTTTTGTGGAATGTTGATGAATGATAATATCCTCCCTGCATCTGGATTTCGAACTTACTCCCCTTTTTTTGGTTGGTTGGATTGGACTTGAACGTTTGCTTTGTAAATATGTTTTTATTTTTTGGATCGAATGATCTTTCAGTGGTAAAGAGATATAATGGGTTCAGTGTTGAACTGACTGGGCCAGTGACTGGATGTATTCGTTTTTACAATTCAAAAGCGTGCCTTTGCTGTTGTGCTCTTGGATTTCGTGTTCCATTGTTTGTATTTGCCATGCATATTGGCAGATTAAGGTGGAGGTTTCTTGTAATTGGCGATTTTGGTGTTAAACTTTGGTGAACTTGGTGATTAGCTTGATTGGGGGACAGAGAGTGAAAGTAATAGTTGACTGGGTTTGAGTTTAGAAGTGTAATTGTTTGCATGGAAAGCTTGACCTTTTCCGGTTTTCTTAATTATTCGTCCACCATAGTAAGTTGGAACCGAAGTCGTATATGCTATTTCCTTAATTTTCGTGTCGTATTGTGCCCCAATATATAGCCAACATGCATGTGATGCTGTATTGGATTTTTGTTGGAACTAGGATAGTGGTTGCTCAACCGTTGCCTCGTTTTGATGTGATTTCAATTGATTGTGAATATGCCAATCTTTGAATGCTAATCCAAATGAATTTGTTTCGTTAATATTTTGGCGTCGGCAAAGCATATTTTCAGATAGTCGGATGTTTGTTATTTGTTGCCTTTTCAAATCACCGGAAGTTTCCTTTGATTAGGGAATTCATCATGTTAGATTGTGTTCCTTTCGAATCTAACATGGCTGTTTTTTTTGTATGGTCAATCGGACATACTCCATTTACTTTTGATGAACTTTTTGTCATTACATGTGTGTCTCCTTGTGTGGGTTTGAGGCAGAAGTAAAATTGAGTACATTCGTTAGTCGGGACACTTGGCAGGATTTGGAATGCCGTCCATGATCGATTTATATTTATTTATGTATATTATAAATTATATTTGGTTGCATCAAGGCTTTTATTTTTTGCTCAACTCATGCATTTAATGATGTGAGGGTTTCCCCTTTAGAATGGGTTTGTTTCTTTGTCTCTAATGTTCATCTGCAATGTGGTCTAAACATTGGTCGCTATCGGAGATTACCACTATTTCTGTATTAGTGAAGTTTCTAGAAAAAAATATATCAAACGACGCAACGCACCTTGGGTCGCTAGGGAAACAGCCTCCTTGTATAATTACAAGGGTAAGGTCTGCGTACAACTGACCCCTCAGACCCCAACTTGGTTGGGAATATACTGGGTATGTTGATTGATTGATGATTGAACTGTAAATCAAGTTTACAGCAGTACGAGAGTGGGCAATGATCTGATTTTGGAAACTGTTTGTAGGCATACGGGTTGCTTGTAAATCATGGTTTTGCAATTAAATAAAATATAAAAAAATCAAACAGTTTTGTTCACGTCTCACACCAGTGATGGCTACTAAACCGATTGAATCACGGTACTTGACATTTATACCAGATGGTAAGAGCCTGATGATTAATGAAAGCTCATTCCTATATACTTATTTTCTTGTTTTCTTTTTGCTGTGAGCGTGCATTAGGCCAACCGTCTTTTGCCAATGACTATAAGCCTTACTACGTAAAGTCGTGAAGTGTAAATTTTATTTCTGCATTTGACTTTTTCCATTTAAAAATCATTTCTAATCCTAGAACCAGTCTATTTATGAACTAGAGCAGTAGAAAGAATCACTGGACTGGCTTAATGGATGCTGACCATGATGCTATTCAGTTTCTCATAGTCGAAGGCCTGTTTTAGTTTGTGAGATAAATTGGAGGAGGCAGTAGCAGATGCATATCATTTCCAACCATGATACATTCAGCGTTGTAATTTATTAAAAAATAAAAATAAATAAATCATCTGCATGTTGATCATAAACATATTATTGACATGACAGTGCCAATGCGTGGTTTGCTCGTATTGTCTTTGTCTTTTTTTTTTTTCTAATTATTTCACCCCTAGTTGAAGGCTATGATAATTATCCGTGCTGTTACACATCAGAAATCCCGTTAAAAATGTACTACGATCTTCTGTATCATTCAAGAACCAAATATTTCTTGAGGTTGGATATCCTTGCTTGCATTTAACTGTTGATGCACGTTTTATCTTACTTGCAGAACAAGGGTTCAAGTGATCGGCGTAGATGGAGCTTCCGTAAGAGATCTGCTAGGCATCGGGTCTTGAGCAACACTGTTGGTTCAGAAGCACCTTCATCTGTGAACAAGGAGAACCCAGAATCTCCAGCCGTCAACTTTTCTGCGCATGCCGACTTCACTGCTCCAGAGAAACCCTCGGTTATTCAGTTGACTGAAGAAAAGGCCGAGTTGCCCACTCAACTGGGCTCAAAGTTATCGGAAACCCAATCCGAAGTTGAAGATGACTGCAAAAAAAATACAACCCTTGATGAGCCAAGTATTATCATAATCCAGGCTGCCATCAGGAGGCTGCTGGTATGCTCCGTTACCAGTTTACAGTTTTTGTCTTTTAAGTTAAATAATCATGCATGGTTAAGTGTCATTGTTGTTTTTCTCTTATGCCAGTCTCAGCGGGTGCTACTGAAACAGAAGAACATAATTAAGCTGCAAGCTGCTGTGAGAGGGCATATAGTCCGGAGGCATGCTGTTGGAACTCTCCGGTGTGTTCAAGCTATCATCAAGATGCAAGCTCTTGTTAGAGCACGACATGCTGGTCGGCTGGACAATAATGACCCAACCATCTTGGTAACAACATTTAACATAATTCAGATTGATCAACTTGTTATTTCCCCCTGCTTGTCGTTTTAAAAATGTTGACTTGAGAAACTTTTTCCTCTCAGCCATTCATGAGTGGAGATGCACTAAATAGTGTGGACGTTTATCATTCTTTGAAACTATTTTTATATACTGTGTGATTGTTATGTCAGTTCATCTCCTTATTTTCAGGGGAAGAAAGAAGCCAAACCAAACACCAGATACACTTATGTTTCCATTGAGAAGCTACTCTCTAATGCTTTTGCTCGTCAGGTAACTAGATTACATCTGGCATTTCTGTTTTCTGATTAGAAATGGTGACACCCATTCGGGCCTTGACTTCTGTTCCCACATTTTTAATTTCAGCTTATGGAGTCAACCCCAAGGAACAAACCCATCAACATCAAATGTGACCCCTCAAAATCTGACTCTGCCTGGAAATGGCTCGAAAGATGGATGTCTGCCTCATCGGTGAGCAGCACAGGATCACCTGAATCTGAATCAACCGAGGAAAAGCGTGAGGACAATCTTGAACTTTCTGATGGCCAAGTAGACATTGTAACTCCAAGTTACTGTTATGCTGAGTTAAAAGACCCGAATTCTACTTTGGTTGCATCGGCTGTATCCTCTGAGACTCAGGAAAATGTCATCAGTCGTGACTTGACCAGCTTGGCTCTCCACTCTGCCGAATCTATGTCGCCTGCATCCAACCTCTCTAATCTGCATGAAGTTGATCAACTGAACTCGACAACTGATGGAACAGAATCTGCTCTCCTCGAGATTAGAGAGAAAGATTTCATTGAGGTGGTTGAGGTGAAATCTCTTCCCCAAAAGGACGAAAATACGTTAGAGGAGCAAATAGAAGCCGGGGCGAAAAAGCTGTCGAGGAAGGCAAGCAATCCTGCCTTTGTTGCAGCTCAGTCAAAGTTCGAAGCACTGACTTCCGCAAAATTAGCCCCTTCATCTACCCACGATCTTGAATTCGAAACTGGACTTGACAAGGGCAGGTTTTCCCTCTCAACCGATCAAACACCCAAATCCACGGGCAACAAGGTACTGGACAATGCCGCTGTATCTGCTGCCACATCAACGGTCCTGATCGCCTCTGAATGTGGGACTGAACTATCTATTTCTTCTACACTCGATTCACCAGACAGGTCGGAGGCTGGGGCCAACGAGATCGAACAGGAAATGAAACCTTCGGACGACACCAAGCATTTTAAGACTGAAGAGAATACTGAAATTGAAGCAGATGGGAAAACGCCAACTGCACCGGAAACTGACTCATTTACCTACACAATGGGTTCAAAAATATACGAAAGTGTTGACTCAGCTGCTGTCGGGTCCCGTGATTACACAAATGCTGAAGACTTCCCGAGTGTAGAGAAAAAGCAAGAAGCTAAGACAACTGACATACAGCTGGAGGTCGAGTCTGATGCTTCGCCAAGAAGCCATATAACCGTCCCAGAATCCCAAGCAACTCCTGGTAGCCAGGTGTCTGTCAAACCCAAGAAGCGCAAGGGTGAGAAAAGTGATTCTTCCAGTCGTAAGAACAGGTCCTCATCTGCGGATAAGAACCGCAACAAAGAATCTGTATCAAGAACTGGCTTGGAGCAGCTACAGGAGCCCAAAGCAGCTGGAAAGAGGCGAAACTCGTTCGGGTCGGGCAGTAAGCCTGACCACAAGGAGCAGGAGCCGAGAGATAGCAGTAGCAGTAACTTTCTGCCAAGTTACATGCAGGCGACTGAGTCCGCGAAGGCTAAGGCTATTGCTAATGGGTCCCCGAGATCAAGCCCGGATGTGCATGATAAGGATATTTACATAAAAAAGAGGCATTCTTTACCCGGTACGAATGAGAGGCAAGGATCACCTCGCATTCAGCGGTCTCTGTCTCAGGCACAGCAGAACACAAAGGGAACTGCAACAATACATTCTCCTCAAGGTATTATGTGATATTTTTTTCCCATGTCATCCTATAGCTAGTCATGTGATGTGACCAGTGGCCGTCATATTAAAAAAGTGTTCCCATGCTGAAACTGGTATGAACGTTTTTAGATGTTTATAGCTCGGAACTCACAAAGATTGCGTTATGGAACTTAAAGTGATGATTATGGTCACTTTGCTCATTTATTCTGACCAGCAGCTTAACTTTCTGTCATGTGCCATGTTACTCTTGTATAATATTGTTAATGCCGTGCGTGCTTATTGTATTCAGACAGGAAATGGCGGAGGTGAGCATGAAACTTTTTCGAGACAAATCGAGTGGTACTTGACCGCCGTAAACAAGTATTTTGGGTTACAGCTTCTATCTTATCTTATTTTATTTTATTTTATTTTATTTTATTTTTGGTCCTTTTCTTTTATGAATTTGCTTTGATTGGGTGCTGAGGTGAAGAAGCTATTGGTATAGTATGAATTATGTTGGTGAGATGTAGAGAGACGTTCGGATTGTATCTAAATTACCATGATATTTTCTCTTAATTTCACCTTATAATCTATCTGATTTTTTTTTTTTTTTTTT